ATTTTGGCGGGAATATTAAAACCATGACCATATGTTCTTTGTAAAACCGATGTGATGTTCTTAGGGCAGTTGACATTAAAACCCAGAAATACGCAAGGTTTTAAAGGATAGATATCAGACTTAGCGAAAGAAAGGTTCTGAKTTGGTTCATGTATTAGAGTTTTATTGACTCCATACATAGCGAAAATATCAATATGTCTGCCACCAAGTACTACACGCGCCATAGGGTCCTGGAACGAGCAGCCGTCGACACTGCGATYCACGAGGCGTCCGTCACATGAAACACGTTGTCGCCCTGAACAAGGGAAACTTAAATCTTGCTGGATTACTAATMGCGGCACGCGATCATGTTTAGTGAACGTTCTTGGAGACGCAACATCACGAAGTGTGCGAAAATAACGCACATCGACAGCAACGTCGACGTCAGTATCCCATGGCAACAAATCACTGTTTCTATAGTAACCGAGTAACGAGCCAAAAAACAAGTAATAAGGAATTCCTTCACGTGTTGCTAAGGTATGCCATTTCTTAAAAAGTTTTCTGAGAACAGAACGCTCCTTGTTTTTAGGACATTGCAGTTCATCCTGGCTTTCTTCAATTTTTAATTTCACTTTTCTATTGTTGCCTTTGTTTTCTTCGTTGTATTTTGTTGCATCTTCATGTGTTAACATGTTAACAGATTTATTAGGTTTGTGACTAGTAGCGCTAATTGTTATATGATAAGGAATATTGTGTTCTGCTGTCCTTTTATCTTTATAACTGTCTTGCTCTTCCGTGGCTTTTTTTCTTTTTTTGGTATGAAGTACGATCTTGTTGATGCCATTCTTGGGGTTATCAAAATCTCCAAACAAGATTTTCTTTATCGTGTGATATCCCTTTACATTTACGCCTTGTGAAATATTCTCTTTCAATTCAATACGCGAATCTCTATCAGTGCGTGCTCTTCGTATATTAATAGTCCCAGTTGCTGGTAAGCCCTCTAAACGATCCAAGTCTCTTGTGACATACAACACAAAGAACCCCG